TGGACTTCCATTTGTGGAGCGGGGTGGGTGCTCAGATGACACATACATGGGTTTACTTATATGTTACATGGACATTAGAAATGCAGAGGGAAAATGACGAGATGGGGGTGATGCGGCTTGGTATGATGAGAATTTTCTGGGTGCTGGAATGTTCCGTAGGATGTGACCTTGACAATGATATGAGGGTTTTGTTTCTTGGCCTATTGTGTCTTCTGGAAAGTATTGGGTACTGAGATATTTGCATCGCAGTGGCTTGAAAACTATAAGGTCCACGGGTACATGTGCATAACGAGTCTCGCAAAGCGCATGGCTAGATATGCGGGAAAGAAATTGATAGAGAGCACAATCAAGATTTTCCTCTAGAACAATGTTGTTTCTTGGTTAACACACAATTTTCTCCAGATAGACGTATGCGAAAGAAGGAGGGGTAGAGAAAGCGTTACCTTGAAGTTTGAGATTTGTGGCGAGAGTCTAGTAGAATGTGAGAGGGGTTGAGCTGTATGGGGTGATTTACCATGGTATGTTGATATGATACGAGGCGTATTCTTGTAGTCTTACCTCGCTACTACAATAACCAGCAGGGGAAAACACGAGTACTATTGATAGGTGTCTAGACTTCTGAACATATATTAAGTCTCTCCTAGTATCAAATACGACTTCAAAGCTTCTGAAGCTTCAATATCATAGGTCCAGCAAAACATACTTCCAATATCATCTCTAGTAGAGAGATTGAAGTGGATTAAGTTAATGGCATGAAAACCACAAATTTTGTGTTCTCCAAAGCCAAACTACAAAGCTTGAGGCTTATCACAATGCACTTCATTAAATATGCACATGGAATGACTGCCTTATCTACTCTACTTTACAATTCCAAACCGCACACAAAGCCAGTACAAATTCATACGTTACAATGCATAAAACAAGCTCACTCATCTGCCAACTATTGACCAGTAACACAGCACCAATCTAATCTAATCTGCACAGGTGCAGAATGACGCATGAAGAAACAAAGAATGAGCAACTTTTACTACGGGCGAGATTGATATGTAATGAAGTGTGGTGTAAATGGGTTCGGAGTGTGCTGGGGAGATCGACTTTAAGGAGGGTAAGAGAAAAGCTTGAATATGTGATATTCAGGTGGAGAGGGGAATGGAGAGGGGAAAAAGAACCACTGAATAGATAATGAGGGGTAATAGTGTAATTTATAGTAATCATTCAATAGTTGAAGATACTTGGAGCGTTGGCAGTGAGCGAAATCTTGAATGAGATGATGATAGTAAGAGTAAAAGATGTTACTGGAGCGGGGATATGCATTCGGGTCTGAAAGAGAAGATTTTAGTCGAAGATGTGAATCGTCTGAGAAGACGGGAAGACCACGCATGCTTCTTGTACGATTCCAGTCGCGGGAACCGATATCAGATCCGAGCTCAAATAATGCATCGTCGTTGAGCCGCGATAAACCTGCTGATACAATGCATTGCGTTGTCTTATACTTCACAGCATCTGCATGGTGGTCTTTCGCCAACTCTGCTCCATGTAGATATTTGTGCATATCCTGTGTTCCAAATGGCGTAGAGATCTCTGCTTTATCCTCACAATATGATTGGATACCATACATGGTATTTGAAGTCTATCATTTTGCGTCGGATAGAGAATTATGACCAGATACACGAATCTCGGAATCTTAAAATATATTTGTGGATTTATGTCGGTATTTCAATTCTCCAATTAATAGACGAGTTTAGTGAGCCACATCATCGGGACCGGTTAGCTTGTTTCTTTCGCCAACTGTGAGGCGTGTTAGTGAAGGAAAGAGAATCAATGGATTCATAGGAAGCCAAGCGAGGGGATGGACGTATGAAAGGCGTGTGAGAAGACTTACCATCTAGAGCTACCAGAAATCTGCTAACACAATTGTATGCTGCGATCTATATTTCAAAATTAGCTTTCACTCTCAGCCTCAAGATGCATCTGTTCTCCCTGATCTCCACTCCAGTCCTTCTCACATCACTGCTAACAATTGTCTCCTCAAGACTCTCCATTATCTCCAAAGGAAAAGTCAACATACCGTAGCCGTCAATTCCACAATTTCCTTCTGATCAAACCACTTTTTCAACTCTTCGAAAACCTCATCCGGCACCCTAACATTCCTAGTCATCTCATCCGTATACTTAATCACAGCCCACTGTTTTGCGCTCAATCCCTCTGCATCTCCATTCGCATCACCATTTCCCTCCCTCTCACACTTTTCCCTCTTAAGTGTCTCCATGCCCTCATCACTCACTCCTCCTTTCTTCGCTAACGGTGCATGATGCCCCCACTCATACCAAGCCGTGTTACAAATAGCCACCCTACAAATCGATATCTCTCTAATATCATCCGCCAGGCTGGTTTGTGTCCTGACTGCTCCAAGAAACGAGTTCCAGCCATCTGCTACAGGGGGACTGTGTAGTAACGTCAAGTCTAGGGCTTGGAGAGGTCTTGGAGCCCGACGCGCTTCAACACGTTCAATGATTGCGCGGTCAGCGGGAGAGGAGAAGGTGGGGGAAGAGGGGTCAGCGTATGGAAGACGCATTTTGGTGTGTGTGGTTTGGTGAATGAAGTGGAGTTGTGGTTGTGCGGGAAGTCGATGGTATCGAAAAGCCGTTTGCTTGACAGTTTGAGAGAAAGAGACTAGAGAAATGGGATATTTGGCATGAAACTTCATACCATTGATCAAAACTTGGAGAGGGTTCAGAACAACTACTTGTGGCTATGGACGTGTACATATATAAATTTCACCTACATCACATTACCCCATAGATGTGGGGTTGAGCCGGCCGATATGGGAGAATACTTTCCCGGCAATTCGAAAAGGCAAATGCAAACGGTATCTTCAAATCTGATAATGGTACATGTTCACGTCGACAACGTTACCATGGAAAATCTCATTTGACTAAGATGAATGTACCAATTCCATGTCATTGGTAGGCATCTTGTACTTTGATAGATCCGCCATCATGTGTATGATACCGAGAATTCGGGAGGGAGGCGGCAAGGTACAGCACGGATAAGCCGACCTGTACACTTTTGTACACTTCATTTTCCTTGACCTCAACCAAAAATAATTCACACCTGGGTATCTAAGTAATGTCTTTTCAAGGGATCTCATGTTTGTGACACATAGGTCGGGTTTATAGTAATCACAAGCTATCAACTAGGTTAAGTTTTCATAGCGCTTAAATTGTTGGATCTCGCCCGCAAAATTTGGGTGTTGTATCAGAATACAGAATCTTTAGGCTTGTCTCAACTTTCAAAAACTCAACAGGTTGCATACGTGAGATCCTCTGTATTAAAATGAAAACCCAATACCATATGATTGCTACCAACAATAGAAACTACTAGCATACACGGTCAATTTGACCCTCTTCCACCTCCATCTTTACTTCTAATGCACGTCGGAAACGCCGAAATTTGTAGAATAACAACAATACATATAATTTTAGCTATGAATCGTTCAATTCATGGCTTCCAACCCGGTTCCATCCCCGAAGGCCATCATTATAACCCATTCATATATTCACAGTTTATTGCAGAAGAGAGGTATGCGTTCAGATTGTCTCGAGGCTCTCTCTGTGTGAAGTGATCCATTTAGCATGAAACATCCAGAGATGCCTTGGAGTTCATGAGAAGAGCAACAATCAACCCGTAAAGACCTGTGATTCATGTAAGTCATTGTCCAAATCAATAAAAGCACCTGGAATCTTACCCAAAACTTCGGCGAAAATCAAAATAAGAATCATTCCGACGAAAAGGCGTGGTTGCTGTGCTGTTCCTCTCACACCTGCATCACCAACAATACCAATAGCGAAACCAGCAGCCAAACCAGCGAGACCGACACTGAGACCAGCACCAAGTTGAATGAAACCAGTATATAATGCGAGGTTTTGTTTAAGTCCGTCGGAAATCAAGACGGAAACAACGAGACCGTAAATACCGATAATACCAGCCATAATAACGGGAACAATGTCTGTGTAACACATTAGTAGAGCTCACAAAGATTCAATGATGAACATGGCTCACTCTTGACGATCAAATCAGGTCGGAGAACACCCATTGCGCAAATACCAACACCAGACTTAGCAGTTCCGTAAGCGGCACCGAAGCAGGTGAAGACGATAGCGGATGTGCAGCCCATGGCGCCGAAGAATGGCTATACATTGATTAGCATGATGGGTTGATACAGATAATGATTTCAAGTTGTTCGATGTCGAATCAGGGTTGGTTGGAAAGCACATCGGAGGTGGCATTCGAGGGAAACTAACCGCGTAGACGGGACTATCATTATTGCTGTCAGTACTTGAATCAAGGCATGAAAATATTCGCGATCATATATAATAGCAGTGCCAACTTTTAGAGATGCTTATCTCGAAAGCAAGGCAGGTAGGTAGTAGGAGCGGGAGGCGTCAAGGAGATAGTTTGTTGACATACCAGAGATCAGCCATTTTGAAGGTGTTGGAGAAGGTGTTTGTTGGATTTGAAAAGGTATATGGAGCTCGAAGAAGCTTTTGAGGAATTGATTGAAGATTTGGGTTGATGAAAAGTTGAGCTTGGAGAGTTGATGAATAGATGATGATCAGTGATTCAAGGTGGTTTGTACGAGTTGTTTGATGAGGCTTCTCTGGCAAGCTTAGCTTTTCGACCAATCAAGTTATGGATTAGCGCGTAACGTAAGCGAAGCCTTTTTCGAGGCACCCGATAAAGATTAATCTTCAGAAAAAAATGCCAGAAGACTTTCAACTTCATCACTAACATTTTTGCAAGTCAACCCACAGGGCGAGCCAACGCAAGGAACCCTGAAAGAGTATTTCTATAGAAATCCTTATCATCTCAGTATATCCTCCAACAAATTGTATGTATTCCCTCTAGTCCAATTGGGTCGATCACAAAGTCTTTGATTCGATAAGATCAAGTTCTAACATTTTCTTCTACAGTAAACTCAATTCCAAACCAAATTCACAATGGCTGAAGAACAAAACGAATCCGCTGCTTGGCCCGTCGGTAAGAATTATGCAGATATTCTACCACCTGCATTTCACTAACATATTACCTTTCAGCCGACAGCACTCTCTCCCAAGAGATCCTCGATCTCGTTCAACAAGCTCAACATTACCGTCAATTGAAGAAGGGAGCCAACGAGACCACCAAGACGCTCAACCGTGGTATTAGCGAAATTGTTATCCTCGCCGCCGATACCGCCCCATTGGCTATTCTTCTCCACCTTCCTCTTCTTTGCGAAGACAAGAACACCCCTTACGTCTACGTACCATCCAAGACTGCTTTGGGACGTGCATGCGGTGTCAGCAGAGCCGTCATTGCAGCAAGCATCACCACCAACGAGGCATCCGACTTGATGGGCCAAATCAGAAGCTTGAAGGATAAGGTCGAGAGACTCCAAATCTAAGACCTGAATTGGATGTTATATTGACTGGCGCTACACCTTAACTGCGTGATGGCGACAGGCATTGGGTTAGGAAGAAAAGAATCTATGAGTTGAAGATAGGCAAGAAATCAAGCTTGTATACATAATTACAGGTTACAAATACAAATCCATGACTGGGAAACAGACTCAAAAATGTGATGACTTTGACATTATTGGGTTATTTTCCATTTCCATCATCGAATGCCAAGTGAAGCATCGATGAATCTTCAAAGCCCAATTCTCGTTCTGACGTATATTTTAAGAGCCTTGCATATTCTTGATACTTATTCCCTATGAATCAAAACTCCGGGGGATACGATTCGCTACAACTGAAAAGGAAACCAGCTCGAAGGACCATAACCAAGACCGAGGACATCGTACGTTAAGAAGCCCATGCCAAGTCAGTTACACACATACATGCGTAATATCTTTCCATCATTAATCAATTCCAATGCAATCTTTCATGCAAATGCAATTCCAAAAAGTCTCTACTTGAACATTTGGCGACCGTCCCGTAAGAACTTTCAGACTAACACCTTAGAGTGCATATTTGGGTTGAACAGGTAGCTGGGCAGTGAATGACATCTCATCGTGGGAGTAGATATCATGGCTCCTTGGTTCCCTGGTAGAAGTCAAAAGGTCGAAATTGGGTGACTGTGTATGTATAGTATGGTCATGATAATTGGAGGCCGTCACCATCACTACGAGCATTCGATTGTGGGTTTAAGTACTGAAGATTGATGAAGTGTTACCGTTCAGATCATTTTAGTATTTTCCAATCATCTAACCATCGGGTTGAGATTTATGCTTTGAGCAGGAAGGGAGAGCTTCATTTTTTAACGGAGCTTATTGATTGCTCTATATATTGACTGTCTTGCGGTTATGGTCACTTCTTCGTCGGGTCAAGACTTGATTAATCTTCAGATTGATGGCATCTTAGTCTAGCTATAGGAACTCGGCGTACTGTGGTAGTGACGACCATGAGTTTGTGATGCTTTTAGTACAATATGTCTGCACAGGAAAGCAGTATAATATATTCGCATCAATTGTACAGAAGATACCACTAGAGGGAGTTAAGTTTCAAGTAGAGATTCTCTAATCATATCTCTAAATCTTCTATTGTGTATAATCCTCTACCGATGTTATATAAAAATGCTTGACGCGCCTTCTCTAACCCAACCCCGAATGTTACACAATAATATAATACAAGCACACTAACCCTCCTTACAACTTACTCCTGAATCTCTCCGTCTCGTCGCTCTTGACGATGTTATCATTGTCCGCATACGGATCAACCGTCAGCCCGTTGAGCGGATTCAACTGACTAGCTCTATAGAACATATCCTCGTAAACCTTTCCATCCTTTCTACCCAGCGAAGAATCAAGTTGCCAATCGGGAAATGCCCATGCATCAACGAGACTTAATGCATGTGGTCTGATCTCTCCCAACAACTTCATTACACTCTTGGTTCTCGCTAATTGGATTTGACGCACAGTAACAGCAGACGAGGAATAGAATTCTGATGCCTCTTTCTCAAGGGTGTTCAGAGCATAGAGACGGTAGAGTTTGTGGAGGACATCAATGGTCTCGGGATCAAGCTCGTATCGGAGAGACTCGCTATGAAGAGCGTCGTAGAAGTTCTTGACGACGAGGTATTGAGAGTGCGCAGTGCTGAGACGCCAGAAATCAACAAGGAGAGAGTTCCATGATCCCTTTTCCGCGTCACGATGTTTCAAGGCTTCAAAGGTCAAGAAGGATGTTCTCCATGCAAAAGCAGCGACGATGTCACTGTCTGAGCCGAGAACATCGTGAGCAGCACCCATATCTTGCTTTTGAAGGAAGGTTGTGAATATCTTAGTTGTGTCGTTGTTGGGGGCATTTCCCTTCAACACGGCGCGAGCAGATTTAAGAAGGTATCGAGCCACTTGCTGCGTGAGCATGTAGTTGTCTCCCTCCCAAGTGGTAGTTGGAAGGTAATCAGCATACCAACTACCAATACCACTGAAACTTGAGTATCCATGACCACCACAAGCTCTACGGCAGACCTCGAGACCTTCTGCGGCTGTAGTACTTCCAAGAGCTTTGAGACCACACGATGTGGCGTGTAGATCAGCCAATAAATCGCTTCCAGAGTTGAGTTCCTCTGGACCGGCGCCCCTGCTGCTATCAGAAGCACTTGTAGCATTTTGTTGCATCCGCTTCTGATTATCTTGGTACAGTCCCATCATGGCCTTTCCTGTGAAGTGGAGAGCAAATGTGGCTGCAAGCAATGGCAATAATCGATATTGGACCATTGTGTAGTTAAGAACCTGGTTCTCCCCAGATGCATCAGCTCCAGCATCCCGATCCTGGAATTGTCGTCTGATAGAGGCATATCTTGTTGCGATGGTCACACCCCGAGCCAAAACGCCACCCGATTGTAGGACGATGGTTGATCGAACCCAAGTCAAAGTGCCGTAAATCAAAGATGGTGATGATGGCTTGACGTATTTGTTTGTTTCAGGGTCGACGCTAGAGAATTTGGCCAACATGTTAATATGTGGAATCTTGACATGGTTCAATAGAAGGAATCCATTATCCATGGTATTGTAGCCAAATTTCGGTCCAATATCTCCCACGTAAACACCATCTAATGGTTCATGGGTTTTCATGTCTCTGATCTGGCATACGAAAGGATGTGGGCCGTATGGCTTTCCAGCAATGATAAGTTGTGCCATAACCACAGCATGATTTGCAGTCCTTCCCAAAGACCCGATCCACCATTTTGACGCAGTGAGATGTGGCGAGTGAAGAATGAATGTCTTGTCTTCGGGATTCCATGTAGCAGTTGTCTCTAAGCCTCGCACATTCGATCCATGTCCCAATTCGGTTTGTGCATAACATCCAATTGCCTTGTAGTTCTCAGCTGGTTCGAGGAATAGTTTGTGTTGTTCAGGTGTGCCTTGGCCACGCAGGGTGGTGAGGTACATCGAAGCATGAAGCCCGTCTTAACTTGATGTTAGTAATCTTTTTGAAAGGTATTGAAGGGTTTGGGAGTTACATACAAGGAGTCGGCTCGCTAATGAGCTCATTTGCCACCTGGTACTCCTCTTGATTCCAGTTGTGCTTGACTTGTAGTTGACGAAGTCTCTTCGCCCTTGCGAGAGAAGTCTTAAATCTATCTACTCGACCATCGAAATAGTTATTTGATTTGTCGAATATCTTGTCGGCTTGTAGGATCTTTAATATACGTTCTTGACGCTCTAATACCTCTTTGGTGAATAAAAAGTTCGAGAGCTTTTCGACATGTATATTAGACTTCTCCCTTTCCACCTTGATAAGTTCAGTGCCTTGCGGACCGGATGGCTTCAGATCTTTGACCCATTGTGGAGGTGACATTTTGAATGATTGATATGGAGAATGATGGTTATGATGGTGGGAATCAAAACTTATAAGAGATCCTTTTGATCAATGAAATCGGCCCTCGGTCAACAATAATTTGGAAGGCGTTGTTTGGCACATGCGCCGGTATGATGAGTAGACTTTAGGGCCTCTTGACAATGGGACCCGGATGCCGAGGTACAAATGCGGGCTTTTGATTTGTAAGAGTCTGTGGAGCAAATAGGGGTAAAATGGGTTCTCCATCTTGAACTCCATACTATGAGAGGTAAGAATATGTGAGCGTTAGACTATTTGAAAGGAACCCGGATTATTATATCTTCATCATTATATAGCACTGTCCCTATATAGGCACTTAAGACATTGACGGCTAACATATACCGTTACACGTACAGGGTTATTGTTGGAAATGCTATTATCCTATTCGTTACAATTTTCATCCTTGTCTGTTTGTAAGATCTTACATCTTAAATCAACCACACACGCCTGGTTTATAGAAAGATCATCAGAATCGATCAAGAGGTTTATGAGTATATGGAGCAAGCTGTGTGACGTTGATGTTGAGGTCGCAGTTACTATATGTTGGCACCTAATGGACGACACGAGTTGCACACCAAGCTCTTACAAAAACATCTTACATATGTCTCCAAGCTATTTTCAATATTCCAATTCAGATTTGACGTTCAAACAACGGGGCAGATATATACACAAAGCATACCTACCTATCACTAGATGCTTGGTGTTCTATTTTGGTGTGTAGTTTATTTCATCCATGTGGAGATTGATACCGGGAGACTCCTTAAGACTAGGTAAATCTTGAATAGCTGAAGAGACAGACGCAATCTCCTACCTACTGCCTCGAAACTGGTACTGCAACATCTTTTAGATCTATAATTTGCTGTAATAGAGTTGCCGGTGAGCTGGTGAGTTTGTAAAATGTTCCCAGAAGCCGTCAAAACAGGTTGGAAAGTAATGCCATCGTACCTTCTGTTTCAAAGACATACCTTCCATTTCTCGTTGATTGTGTGGGTAGCTTCAAACATTTCTTTATATTGATTTCGAGATGTCCATACATGATGTTCATCATTTCACCCTGAATCATATCTTCGTCTATTCTCTTATCCAAATGTCACCTCAGATTCTATTACAACCGCTGGATTCAACCTACATTCGCTTTAATGCTCCTATTTCAAATTATTCGTGTATATTTAAATTACCATCTTCTCGATGCCAACACTTCCGCAAGAACCGCAGCAAGCACACCTGAATCTCAATCAGGATCCATTGTCATTGGAGCCGGTAGAATCTCAATTGACGTCTGATCCAAATGAATCCAGGCCCTGCACACGAAAGCTGGCCTCAAGGTATTGCATAGAGGCGTGCGTGGAGTCTTTAAGCTGGCGTGGATGGCTATGTTACCTTGCTTGTCTACTCGTTATCATTATGATAATTGGGATCGTCTGCAGCGCCCATGTATACTATCATGATATGGGAGGGCAAGGTTGGCTCAAATTGAAGCGAATGACTCAGGAACGATTTGATCGAGTCCAGAGCTTCTCGCAAGTCTGTCTGCCATCAAGACAGTTGGAACACTACAAATCGA